ACCGAAGCGGGAAGTGGGAAGAGGCTGTTCTATACGGTTAATTTGCAGTGTAACACCCACACTCAGTTCGTATTAAAAATTTCCAGAAAACTTACATTTATGTGTAATTGTACATGCTCCATTCGAATCTGGCTTGATAGATTTGATAAAATTTACCATTATGGAGTTATCGATAGTGAAATTTGGGATTCAATCGTGTCGTTGGCGGCAGCCATTTTTCGTCTTGTTTGCATACATTCGCTGCGGAAAGCTAAACGCGGAAGACTACGAAAACCTAAACACGGATCTGATTTTGTCTAAATTTGCCTCATTTACTGCGCACGAACTATTTACGAACACACGCTCAGTTTGCGCAATGATACCTACACTGATAGCTATTCTGCAGCGAATGTATACAAACAACGCCTGTAATGGCTGCCCGCAACGCGAATGAATCCGAAATTTCACTGTTGATAATTCTAAAACAGTAGATTTTTATCAAATTGTTATAGACAAGCGTATGGTTGCAAGAAAGAAATACGACAACAGCAGAAATAGATTTACGTGGTTTATTTCAACAGGAACGTGTTGGTTTGGGACAGCTACCTTGTGGTAAAGTTCATAAGTCGGCTTTCGGATCTGGTCGATCTCTCATAGTAGTTCACACATGTTGACGGTGGTTGACGCTTCCCTGCTGTCAGCTGCTGACCGTGACAGGTCTCTACCCTGGGCACCTGTGGACTACCGGTTGAACTTCCGTGTGACCCCTTTTATAGCGTTTTTTTTATGGCTTAACAGGCTCGAAAAACGAAGCGAGTATAATTAGGAGGGAAGCATTTTTATTGGACGAAAAATAGAACACTTTAAATATTATTTTTTTTCGACCGGAACAAGTGTGTCGGGAACATTTGTAAATGAAGATAATGGTCATTTTGTGACGGGGTTTTGTCCCGTTCACATCCGGTTCTCGCTCTTGAGTATTTGCCTGTAAATCAGCCGAGATATGTCATTCTATTTTATAACAAAATTATCAAGCCAGATTCGAATGGAGCATGTACAATTACACATAAATGTAAGTTTTCTAGAAACTTATAATGCGAACTGGGCGCGGGTGTTACACTGCAAATTAACCATCTAAACTAACTATCCTTAAGCTAGCTAATCAGATTCACGACCTATTCATCCATTACAATTCACTTATTCATCACAAGATCTCATCCATCACCATTCAACCTGATCCTTACTAGGAATTAATATTGTTTTAAATACAAAATCTTAGCACACGGCCGAAGGCGGGGTGGGGAAAGGTAACTATCCTAGTTCTAGTTAAACACAATCACGACCCATTCATACAATGCAATATACTCAATCACCACAAGAACTTGTCTGTCACCTCCCAATCCTACATGTACCATAATACCACATATTCACAAGGGAGCTACAAAAAAATCCTTATTAGGAATGACTGTACAATACTTTCCCATCCCCAATGTTATAGGCAGAAGCGTATAAATGCATGCTGGGATTTCTTCCTATCAAATAAATAAGCCGGTTCCCAGTTTCATATGACTCAGTCCCGGTCTGTCTTGTCTTGAAGTCAGAATGCAAACTTGCTCTTGTGTGTCAACCATAAATCTTAGTCTGTGAACTTTTTGCCATATTACTGTTGTATTCTTGTATATATATTTTTGCTTGCTTTATATTATTTTTTGCCCTGTTCTTTTCTTTTTTTCTTGTAAACTTTGTCAATTCTGTTTGTTGGACAGTTCCGTCATTTATTTTACATTTAAACATGGCCACTCTGCAGTAAATTTAATTTTATTGTGTTTATTTCTACAGAATAATATAAAAGGTGGGGCATTAAACGAAGACACTCTTGGTAGCCAGCTAAAATAAGGTGTTGCCCAATACATTGAGAAGGATTTCAAATAAGAGACTGTGTAGCTGTACTTATGTTTCTCCAAGAAATATCTTCCTGATCTTAAAATATTTCAGTTGTGTAAATGTCGATTCCAATTTAATGGTGAACGCCTGCAAAATATTCTCCCCTCCCCAATTTATAGACAAATGCATGCTGGGATTTCTTCCTAACCAATAAAACAGGCCAGTTCTCGGTTTCATATGACTCAGTCCCGGTCTGTCTTGTCTTGAAGTCAGAACGCTTATCCGAAATTCCTCTTGTGTGTCAAGCCCAATTCTTAGTTTGTGAGCTTTTTGCCATATGATTGCTGCTTTGCCATATTACTATTAATTTGACTTGCATATATTGTTTGCTTGCTTGATATTATTTTTTTTGCTCTGTTCTTTTCTTGTTATTGTTTATTGAAAACTTTGTCAAAAAATTAGAAAAAAATGTTCTCACAAGCACATTTCCCGTCCTAAGAAGGACAGTATCTATGTAAAATGTGTGTTTTTATGTGGTTTACTTACAAGAATTGAGGAATCAGAGAGCCGAGTTCGAATTCCAGTCGAATCCGTTACATTCACTTACGTGCTAATACCCCTGGGAAAGGTATGATTATTATTCTTCTCCCCCCTGCTATGGGTAAATAGCAGGACAGACCGAGTTCTATAGCCTTGCATGGCAACTGGTCTACCGCAGAAAGAAATGGCAACCTACTGCGGGAAAAAGGAGTAATGGATAGCGGCTTGGATTGAGGAATCGGAGAGCCGATTACGAATTCCAGTCGAATCCATTACACTCACTTACGTGCTAATACCCTTGGGAAAGGTATGAATTCTATTCTTCTCCCACCCCCAGCTATGGATAAATAACAGGACAGACCGGGTTCTATAGCCTTGGATTGCAACTGATCTACCGCAGAAAGAAATGGCAACCTACTGCGGGCAAAAGGCGTAATGGACAGCGGCCTGGAGAGCAAAGATAGAATTCCAGTCGAATCCATTATATTCACTTGCGTGCTAATACCCTTGGGAAAGGTATGAATTCTATTCTTCTCCCACCCCCAGCTATGGGTAAATAACAGGACAGACCAGGTTCTATAGCCTTGGATTGCAACTGGTCTACCGCAGAAAGATATGGCAACCTACTGCGTGAAAAAAATCTGCTTCGTCAGTCATGTATCAAAAGATACATGATCACATAAGTGTGTATCACGAATGGCACATAACTGATTTACAAGAATAATTTATATTTGCAACATTCTAAAAACTAAGACAATTTTATTAAAACTAATGCAATGATATATTTATCATTTACCAATTTATAAAGAATTAGATATGAAAATAATTTTTTATTAATAAATTTATAAACATTTACTAAATTATTAAAATACATGAACTAACTATAATGAAGTCCTTATTATTTACCATTTTATAAAGTTCGAATTGATTGCCAACCATTGTAATACAAAATATACGAAATAAATGGTGTAAATAAACAATCTAGTAAATAAATAGTATTTATTATTTTTGTTGTCCATTCTTAAGAAGAAAGAAAATATATATGTTCAGGCTAATATGTTCATTTTTTAAGTTCTGATCATCGCTTTTTGAAATAATAAATATCGCCGGAGAGTGAAGGTAGTTAAAATAATAGCGGTGTTGAGGGAAAAACCGTTCTTTTGAGACACTGTATTTTTTTTTTCGGACACTAGTTTTAAAGATTTTATCTACTCTCTCCACACAAACCCCGCCAATAACGAAAGGGACAGGAGCCGTGGCATTTCTCCGAAAATACATTCATTTGTATTTAAGGGGTTTAAAGCAAGTTTATCCCCCGAGCTCCATGCACCCAATCTTTTTATTTATAGCCTACGGTAGGGGGAGTTGGGGAAGAAATTAGTCTACGGGAGGCTTCAGCTTCGCAGAGCAATATTTAGCCATTTTTATTTTTTATTTGTACGTGTGTCATACATTTATGTTGTCAGATACTCATTTGAACAGTAACTCTATTTTGAGTGCCTCTCAAGGTTTATATTAAGTAATCTTTAAGATAAAAAAATATTCTAGGATCGTGGGTAATCTGAGCTGCCAGGCGGGTAACAAGAACAGCAACAGCACCGCCAACAACAGCAGCAGCAGCAGCAGCAACAGTAACAACAACAACAGTACAAGTCAACAGACCAGGCATTTTACTTAAATTTTTGAACTGATCGTTAGTGAGTTTTTCAGAGGCAATAAAATTTGGAGGGGGTGTTGTTGTGAGTCGATACAAATAATCATTTTTATCTCTTCTAGTATTATTTGTCCTGAAAATTGTATTTGGCATATTCGTGTGAGCCTGGGTAAAATAAGACGCAAAATTATGGATTTTAAACGAACAACGAATGTATAGGCTAAACATGTTTTAAAAAATCTATAGGCTAAACATGTTTACAAAAACATGTATAGGTAAACATGTTTACAAAAATGTATAGACTAAACAGGTTTACAAAAAATGTAAAGGCTAAACATGTTTACAAAAACATGTATAGGTAAACGTGTTTGCAAAAATGTATAGGCTAAACAGGTTTACAAAAATGTATCGGTAAACATGTTTACAAAAATGTATAGGCTAAACAGGTTTACAAAAAATGTATAGGCTAAGCATGCTAACAAAAAATGTATAGGCTAAACATGCCGACAAAAACGTATCGGCTAAACATGTTTACAAAAATGTATAAGTAAGCATGTTTACAAAAATGTATAGGTTAAATGTGTTTACCAAAATATATAGGTAAACATGTTTACAAAAATGTATAGGCTAAACGTGTTTACAAAAATGTATAGGCTAAACGTGTTTACAAAAATGTATAGGCTAAACGTGCTTATAAAAATGTATAGGCTAAATGTGTTTACAAAAATGTATAGGCTCAACATGTTTACAAAAAACACGGAAAGAAAGTTGTCGAAAGCTCCACTTGATGATTGCAGTCCTTAAATGTCGCGTGTGTTGCAGGAAGCAGAAAAGGTCATGCACTGTCTCTTTCCCGTCCGTGGTTGAAGGAAAAAAATGTGATATTTTTAAAAAAAATCGCGCCGCCTGTAATTCTCTAAGTCGTGGGTGGGGGGCGATAAATCTATAATTTACAATACATTTGTAGGAAGGATATATAAAAGAAATGAAAAAAAAAAAAAAAAAAAAACTTACCTAATTTTAGATTTCCGGTCCAACTGTGACGACGATTTCCTTTAATTGTGTCTTTCCTCAGCAATATCATTTCGTCAATTATCATTCGTCGCTCTTCCTTGGTAAGTTCCAGGAGCCCCGCCGATTGGGGTATGTTACTAACACTATTTCGTATCGGGTACTTCTTCCTGTGTTCCTTGCTAATCAGATTTGTGCTTTGAAACTCTAAACCACTGAAACTGTACTCGTCAAATGTCAGTTCGTTCAGACCGCCTTCTTTGCTATCAGTACGTTTCATAATATCGTCTGCTTTATTGCAATCTCCTACCGCCTCTTGCAAAGTTTCGTCTTTGACTTCATTCTCGTTTAACGTCTCTATTACCCGAGTGTCGCTTGTTGATCGATTCTGCTTGTCAGCGGGCGGAGAGATCAGAATTTTCTCAGCCGTTACGGTCAGATAATCGCTTACACAGCGACAGGTCGTCTCACCTTCGATTCCTGTCAGATCATCTAAAATGTCGGGCAGTCGGTGACCGCAGCTTTCTCTAAGACTCGGGGGCATATCTAGCAAATCGTCTAGTGAATTGTCTGAAATGTTATCCTCTGAGTAGTCCCCGTACTCTACAGAGGTCTCGGACTCTTCTGCTTTCGTCGAGACGATTCCTGTATTTGTAAATTCTTCGTTGTCATCATCCAGAGGTTGGGAATATATTTGGAAAGTAGGGCTCGTGTCTGGGGTTACGGGATCGATTTCAGGCAATTCGCTACTCTCAACGACAGACTGGGTCTCTGTGTATTCAGGAGGATTTAGGAGAACTGATAAGCAAGGTTTAGCCGCCATTACAGTCATTACGTTACAGTCGATTTCATAAGTTGGGTATTCGGTCGTCATTGGTGAATGGGAGGGGTACTCTTCGTCGGTGTCAGACATTTTTAAAAACGTTTTTTTTTTTATAGAGACGGGTGAGTCTGGAATTATGTGAATTTTCAGATTAAAATGCTGAGTCAAGATTCCGTTTTAAGTTTAGAACCGGAATTTAATATAAGTATAGCAGACAACAGTTTTGAATTTAATTTAAAAGAGTTCGACAGGCAGTGGAAATTTTGAAATTAAAATTTAATCCAAAGTAACAACTTTCCGAGTTTAGGCTTATTGAAAAAAAAAAAAATTAGATTATCAGAATCTTTGCTTACCGAAGCTCCGAGTAAAATGCTTTTTGATAGAAAGATGGAACAGAATTTCTATATAACCAGTTCTTCTAAAAGAGATTTCTTACGGAATATCAGAAAATGAAGATTAACAGTTGACTTCGTACGTTGGGTGCATGCATGTCTTTGACAAAAGAGAGATGTACTCTTCGTCGGAATAAATCATTTTAGAAGAATTTTATTGTGATGTTTGTGATTTGAAATAAAGTATAAATGTTTATGTATTTATAGATTACGATGACTGAAATTTGGAAGAAACTATTTTTCAGACTGAATTTTGGAAGGAACTATTTTTTAAGACGGAAATTTGGAAGAAACTCTTTTTAAGACTGAAATTTGGAAGAAACTATTTTTTTAAGACTGAAATTTGGAAGAAACTATTTTTAAGACTGAATTTTGGAAGAAACTATTTTTTAAGGCTGAAATTTGGAAGAAACTATTTTTAAGACTGAATTTTGGAAGGAACTATTTTTTAAGACGGAAATTTGGAAGAAACTATTTTTAAGACTGAAATTTGGAAGGAACTATTTTTTAAGACTGAAATTGGAAGAAACTATTTGGAAGAAAACTATTTTTAAGACTGAATTTTTTGGAAGGAACTATTTTTAAGACTGAAATTTGGAAGAAACTATTTTTAAAACTGAATTTTGGAAGAAACTATTTTTTTTAAGGAACTGAAATTTGGAAGAAACTATTTTTAAGACTGAAATTTGGAAGAAACTATTTTTAAGACTGAATTTTGGAAGGAACTATTTTTAAGACGGAAATTTGGAAAAACTATTTTTAAGTGAAATTTGGAAGAAACTGAATTTTGGAAGAAACTATTTTTTTAAGACTGAAATTTGGAAGAAACTATTTTTAAGACTGAATTTTGGAAGGAACTATTTTTTAAGACGGAAATTTGGAAGAAACTATTTTTAAGACTGAATTTTGGAAGAAACTATTTTTTAAGGCTGAAATTTGGAAGAAACTATTTTTAAATCTGAATTTTTTAAGAACTATTTTTAAGACGGAAATTTGGAAGAAACTATTTTTTAAGACTGAAATTTTAAGAAACTGAATTTTGGAAGGAACTATTTTTTAAGACTGAAACTCTTTTAAGACTGAAATTTGGAAAAACTATTTTTTAAGACGGAAATTTGGAAGAAACTATTTTTTAAGGCTGAAATTTGGAAGAAACTATTTTTAAGACTGAATTTTGGAAGGAACTATTTTTTAAGACTGAAATTTGGAAGAAACTATTTTTAAGACTGAATTTTGGAAGGAACTATTTTTAAGACTGAATTTTGGAAGAAACTATTTTTTAAGACTGAAATTTGGAAGGAACTATTTTTAAGACTGAATTTTGGAAGAAACTATTTTTTAAGGCTGAAATTTGGAAGAACTATTTTTTTATGGAAGAACTGAAATTTGGAAGAAACTATTTTTAAGACTGAAATTTGGAAGAAACTATTTTGGAAAACTATTTTTGAAATTTGGAAGAAACTATTTTTAAGACTGAAATTTGGAAGAAACTATTTTTAAGACTGAATTTTGGAAGAAACTATTTTTTTAAGACTGAAATTTGGAAGGAACTATTTTTAAGACTGAATTTTGGAAGGAACTATTTTTTAAGACGGAAATTTGGAAGAAACTATTTTTTGAATTTTGGAAGAAACTAAACTGAAATTTTAAGAAACTATTTTAAAAATTTTGGAAGGAACTATTTTTAAGACTGAAATTTGGAAGAAACTATTTTTAAGACTGAATTTTGGAAGGAACTATTTTAAGACTATTTTTTTAAGACTGAAAGAAAACTATTTTTTTAAGACTGAAATTTGGAAGAAACTATTTTTAAGACTGAAATTTGGAAGGAACTATTTTTTAAGACTGAAATTTGGAAGAAACTATTTTTTAAGACTGAAATTTGGAAGGAACTATTTTTTAAGATTGAAATTTGGAATAAACTATTTTTTAAGACTGAAATTTGGAAGAAACTATTTGATAAGAATGTGGCGAACGATTGTTTTCTAAATTTAAACGAAAAGTTCTAGAAACAACCAAATTATTGGAGATCTAGATTTTGCCTAAATTACGAACATAGATTTTATTTTTATTAAAAAAAGAAAACGAATTGGTATCTTAGGATCTTTGCTTACTGAAGATCAGAGTAAAAATGCTTTTAACGTCTTCATTAGTCTCGCGAGATCTGGGCTTTTATATGGATGTCAGACATGGCGCCCGACTCGCTCAGAAAGAACTAAGTTGTCAGCTATTTACAACCGTGTTCTCAGAGGAATGATCGGCTTGATACGAATAAATCCGATAAAAAGAAAATAACCCTTAATCAGAGCCTATAAATTGGCGCTATGGAGTCATAAACAAATAGCTTTACCAAATGCCGGAAACGACATTAATTGAAGCCTAGCAACAAATTGGTAGTTTTAGAAGTAAAAATAATGATATAATCAAACTGTTAACTTTCCACACTACGAAGAAAAAAAGGTTCGGAAGGAAACTCCAGTTAGTATTAGAAAGAGCTACAACATTTAGTGGACTTGGGAGATGTCTAAATTTCTGAAAAACGTTTTGATAGAAAGATTCTATAAAATTCAACCGATAGTAACACGAGCTGTCTGGTCAATGAATTCAAAATATTTAGGTTATTATCTCGATTTAAGATGGAATAAAACTTTGATTTCACCAGGTCTTGTAAAAGTGATAAATTTCCTACAGGACGTCACATAATGACGAATAGCAAGGATAAGAAACCTATTTTGTATAATGACGGATGAGAAGCATCCCTGTTGTCACTTGGAGATTTCTAAAACGAAGGATTGTTGTGGTAAGAGCCAGTCACCCTTCTTGCTATCATGAATGAACCAATCCATTCATGATAAGTCGTCCTGGGTAATTGCCTAGGAAGGAGATAATATTATTGCAGTGACTTGTCTAGCTGAGTTTTGAATACTTCTATCACAATTGACTCTATCGTGCTAAGTGATGTGTCTTTCTAGACCTCACAACCCAGCAGTATTCATGTTTTCTTTTTAAAAATGTATTACGTCTTTTTTTTATTATCAAATGCCGACAGTAAGTTCTCGTGTAAAGTGACTGCAGCGAAAAGAGTGACTTTTTTTCTTTCTGTTTTATTCTTGCAAATAAAAAATGAAAAAAAAGTTAAAACTCCCAGACGAAACTGAGCGCGTATTCAAGCAACTTTAAAAAAGTGTTGACGTTATCACTTGACTTTCCGTCCTCGGAGCTCCGGCAAAGTTGCCTCGATCTGAAAATGAGAAAAAAAAATAATTTTAACAAATTTAAGTTTTATTCTTTTTTTAAATTTATTTTTTAACAGAGCAAGTAAAAGACAGCATAAAGTGCAATAAAAAATAAGTTAAATAAAAAAAAATTGTAATTACAGTAAAATCCCTGACAACCGGACTAAGAAGGCCTTCCGGATATGAGGAATTGGTTACAAAATCCGGATATGAGGGGTTATATTTAGATTAAAATAAAAGAACTGAAATTAGGTTTAACATTTATTTTCAATATTTTATAGTAAACAAAATAAGCTAATGGTGAGTGAAATATAGCTGAACTGATTTTAAGGAAAAGAAATAAATTATGTAATGCTAATTGAAAATTAAGTTTGCCACATAAGCAAAACAAATAATGTAACAAGGATTTTTTTAATCACTGTTGCATGATGATTCTTTCTCTTCTAATGTCATTCTCAACTTTTTCTGCATTTCGTTTTGCTTTTGTTCTTGAAATTTTTTAAACGAAATATAATTTTTAACTCAGCGTGCGTTATTGCAATCGGCATAGCTGAATGCTGGCTTTCTTTCCATAAAACTGACAACCTTGTCAATAGCTTTTTCAATTTCAGTCCAGATTTCATCACAATCATGAATCTTGTCGCTATCTTGTTGCAGATGTGTCTCGTTGTCATCCTGTCCTCTTATTCAGAAAACAAGAAAACAGAAATTTCAAAACATTTACATATTACCCAAATAGTTCAAATATACACATCAAAATCATGTCCGGATATGTGGCACTCCGGATATGAGGGATTCCGGATATGAGGGATTCCGGATATAAGAGGTTCCGGATATAAGGGATTCCGGATATGAAGGATTCCGGGTATAGGGGATTCTAACGTATTATTTTTTAAATTATTAAATCTATCTACAAAATATAATGATGGTGATGTGAAAAAAATGTTTTGTTGCCAAATCTAAAACAGGGTGAGGCAGAGATGACGGACGTTTTTGAAATGACAATTACTCAGTCCCGGGGAGGGGGACATATGTCCAACAGGTACCATTCGGTCTGTGATCTTGGTATTTTTTTTTCCTTTTCAGTTAAAGCCGTGGTGCTGTGGACGATAGAATACCCCGTGTTCGCCTACGACAGGTTCGTGAAGTATAACAAGTCTGTCACAGCAGTTCAGCGTGAGTTTCGTCGCCGATTCAACATTCACCGAAATCAGGTTGTTCCCACCCGTAACACAATCTTACGTTGTGCTCATGCACTTCGTACACGAGGCACACTAATGAATAGAAGACCTGAGGGGGGGGGCAGACGAACGGTTCGTACCCATAAAATGTGAAACACGTCATACAAGCTTTGATATGCAGTCCAAATCGCTCTGCCCCGCGGCATGCTACTGAACTTGGTATCAATAATCGTTCAGTAAGGCGTATTTTTCATAAAAACTGCATTCTACGGCTACAAATT